ATATGTATATATATATATATATATATATATATATATATATATATATATATATATATACATATACATATACATATACATATACATATATATAAATATATATATATATATATACATATATATATATATATATATATATATATATATATATATATATATATATATATATATATATATATATATATATATATATATATATATATATATATATATATATATATATATATATATATATAAAGTATCTATAACTTTAACTTTTATTTGACATTTTGTATGACTTCTTCAGTAATTTTTGGGTTAGACTTTTATCAGGTAGCCAAACAGCTTTTATTAAGCGTCCATAAACTTGTAAAATGTTGCCATTATTATGTAGCTAGTCTGTATGAAGGATATTTATTAGAGCAAACTTTATTAATCATTCTTCTTAATTTTTTTTTTTTTCAGAATAAAATAAAAATAAAACTGAATATTAGAAAAAAAAATTTTCTGAGAAAAAATTTCTTTATATTCAGATAGAACTTTACCCTAACTTTCAGTTTATGTATGTATGAAGCCCTTGCAGATTGTTATTTCAGTATGATTTCGTAAATGGTGTGTGATGCTATGCTAAAGCCAGGATCATCATAATCACCCTGCTACTGGTAATATTTAATTCAGAACAACTAGCCTAATGACCTACTGTCTTGTAGATTTTGCTTTTCCAGACAAAGGCTAGAATGAAGTTGACTCTGAATTTAAATACCCTTTGCATTAGAGATCATAACTATTACGGCATAACTATTAGAAGCTTCTTTTTTTTAATGTTAGTTCACCTCCCCGAGGCAAGAAGGCCACTACCGTCCTGGAAGCTACTTCAGTTGTAGTTACAACCCTCTCTCAAGCTTATCTTGAATGATCTTGAGGGGTTGCATGGTAGTCAGAAAGTTTTTCCCAAAAAGTGTAGTTTTAAAGAGTGCGTTAATAAACCAGACCAGAAAAAGTTTAAAAACTTAAATATATATATTTTTTTAAATGATAGACTGCCTGCCCAAACCAAACCCTCAGTCGATGTAGCAGCACTCCCTTGCGAGTCAGGCTATTTGTCAGTCGATGTAGCAGCACTCTGTTGCGAGTCAGGTTATAAGATAGTCGATGTAGCAACACTCTGTTGTAAGTCAGGCTATAAGATAGTCGATTGTAATTAATTGTAATTAATTACAATTTTTAAAGTAACTGTAATTATAGTTGGTTTATTTCTTTAACCAATTACATGTAATTGTAATTGTAATTGACCCATGTGTAATTGTAATGGTAATTGCCTTGGTGTAATTTAAATATTTCAACTACGTTTATTTTTCATGAATCTGTTTAATTTATATTAAATAAATCATTTTTCTGTTTATATGTAAGCTATAATGAATAAAAGTCAGATGCAGCTTTAATTTTCGAATATTATGAAATTGATTTTATCACTGATGAAGGTAGCTTAAAACCAAATGGTGACAATGTAAAAATAAAATGCAAAACATGTGGAGAGTTTATTTCATACTCAATAAAGGCAAATTCAAACCTTTGTATTCACCTGTCGGTAAGTGAAATAGTATTACAATACCATGCAATTATAGCTATTAATTATTACGTGTACTTTGCAAAATTAAAAAAATAGTTTATTAAAACAATCTACATTATACAGATTATGTAATATTTATATAATTACGTTATAATTATTCTGTAATTTCTGTTGTTTTTATTTTTAGCGTAAACACTCTCTGAAACATGCAGAATATCGAATGCATAAGTATAAGGAAGAAAGTGTTAACAACAGTAACAAATGAGAAAGTAGCCATACAATCTCTCTAGATAACTTCTGTCATAAAACACCAAAGAAATTTAATTCCTCAGAACTGTGTCAATTGAAAATAACCAGAGCTCTAGTTTATGTTATTGCTGGTAACTTATTGCCATTTTCATTATCACTGGTAACTTATTGCCATTTTCATTAGTTGAAAGTAAAGAGCAATGAACCCTAATAATAAGTTGAAGGTAAAGAGTAATGCAGCCCTAATGAACGTTCTTGAACCACGTTGCAATTTACCAAGTAGAAAATCCATGTCATCAAAACTAATAAATGATTGTAAACAATATATTGAGAATAAACTGTGTGCAACATTTTGTAGCATAGACAAAGTGCACATTACTGTTGATATATGGACAAACTGAGTTATGCATTCTTTTTTGGGAGTTATAGTGCACTACATTGAAAACTGGAAACTCAAACGAGGGTTACTGTCATGTAAAGAATTTTCAGACTGTCATACCAGTGAGAATATTGTAAATAACTTTGACGAAGTAAATGAAACATTTCACTTAAGGAACAAAGTGTCTCATGTTGTTAGCGACAGTGCATCAAACATGACAAAAGCTTTTAAAGTGGTACTGCCACAGTTTATGCAGCAGCAGCAAGAAAATGAATCAACTAATTCAATTGATCCTGCTGATGATAATGACATTAAAAGTGATGCAGAAGATGGATCACAAGAGGAACCAAACAGAAACTGAAAGTTAATCTCTTTAGTTTTAAAGAAAGTTCAGGTCAACAAGAACAAGAGATACAGAAGGAAGACATATTGCTAAAACTTAGACACAAGCTTAATGATTATGTGAAGGCTCTATTACAGGAGTATGAATCTGACCCTCTTGTATGGTGGAATTCAAATAAGGATTTGTTTCCACATGCAGGTTGAGCAGCAAGTGCTCTGCTATCTATTCCAGCATCATCTGCACCAGTAGAAAGTGTTTTCAGTATTGCCGGCAAGATCTATCATCCAGAAAGAACCAAACTCAAGGCCCTGATGACTTTGATGTTCATAAAACACATTTGTAATTGTAATATAATTGATCCAAATATAAAATCATATAATTGTAATTGTAATTGGCAAATTTTAAAGTAATTGTAATTTAATTGTAATTGAAGCTCATGCAATTGACCCATGTCTGATATATATATATAAATATATATATATATATATATATATATATATATATATATATATATATATATATATATATATATATATATATATATATATACATATACCCTTATAGTGTAGTCGAAAGAGCGTTTTAATGTAAAAAAAGTCTCTTACGACTACAATTTTAATTACATCGTCTCTTAAGCTGTTTTTGATTGTCATCGAAATGTCAAAGCAATTAATTTATGCGGAAGTACATTAAATTTAATTGTTTTTAAAAAATTTTTTAAAAAACCGCAATTATAACGACTAGAAAGTTTTTTTTAATTAGTGGTGTTTTTGTTATTGATTTAATAAAAAACATTTTTTAAACATGCGTAAATGTTGCTACATCGACTATCTTATAGCCTGACTCGCAACGGAGTGCTGCTACATCGACTGACAAATAGCCTGACTCGCAACGGAGTGCTGCTACATCGACTGACAAATAGCCTGACTCGCAACGGAGTGCTGCTACATCGACTGACAAATAGCCTGACTCGCAAGGGAATGCTGCTACATCGACTGACAAATAGCCTGACTCGCAAGGGAGTGCTGCTACAACGACTGACAAATAGCCTGACTCGCAAGAGAGTGCTGCTACATCGACTGAGGGTTTGGTTTGGCCAGGCAGTCTATCAATTAAAAAAAAAAATTTAATTTTAAAAACTTTTTCTGGTCTGGTTTATTAACGCGCTCTTTAAAACTACAGTTTATGGGAAATATTTTTTGATGCTACGCAAGAGACATGCAAGACTATATATATATATATATATATATATATATATATATATATATATATATATATATATATATATATATATATATATATATATATATATATATATATATATATATATATATATATATATATATATATATATATATATACATATATATATATATATATATATATATATATATACATATATATATATATATATATATATATATATATTATATATATATATATATATATATATATATATGTATATATATATATATATATATATATATATATATATATATATATATATAATATATATATATATATATATATATATATATATATATATATATATATATATATATATATATATAGATTGGTTATGTATTATATAAAATAATAAAAAACTCCTGTACAAAAACAGTGCTCTATATAATAATAATAGAGTGATATCTATTTTTTTACTGAAATGAAGAAAAATAACATTTTAATTGTATATATATATATATATATATATATATATATATATATATATATATATATATATATATATATATATATATATATATATATATATATACACACACACACTTACTAAAGCGTATTTTTATAAGCATTTGCTCACTTTTTTTGCTTACCTTAACCCATACGGCTTTTTTAGAAAAAGAAGAAAAAAACAAAGAATGATGAATGAAATGATTGCTGCCCCATCCCAAACCCTCAGTCCATGTAGCAGCACTCCACTGTGAGTCAGGCTATTTGTCAGTCGATGTATGTACTGAAGCCCCCATATATATATAAATCAAGAGGTGAATTGAAATAAAATAAATTTTTTATTCTTTTTGTTTTTATTTTTTGTGGAAAAAGCTAATTTTTTTTTTTTTCTGCTTATTGCTTTTTAACTTTTTATTGTTCTTTAATTTATTCTAAGTTCAGTGTTGTTTTATGTATTCAATTTTTTTTTTTTTTTTATTTACCTCGTCAAGGCCGAGAAGGCCACTACAGACGAGGAGGCTACTTAATAGTGGTTATAACCCTCTCTCAACTCTATAACTCCAAAATACGAACCTTGACGAACAAGAACGCTGTGCGGAGAAACAAGTTGAGCGCAGTACTACCAAGGACGTGGTGGGGATCGAACATTGGAACCTCTTGCTTATGAAGCGAGTGTTTTACCACTACACCACTACCGCATATTCAATTATTTATCACATAGGATATTTAGTACCTAAAACAAATATAGCAATATTGTATTTTTCATTTACTTTTTGAATTTTATTTTAAAGGGAATAGTTCAAGATGTAGCCATAAAACTTATCAACAAGAAGAATTTATCGAAAACACAGACTTTACTGGAGAAAGAAATAAACATTCTTAAAGTAAGCACTTTTTTTATGAATGGAATATATATAACATTAGAAAGAGCAACCTGTTGTAAATTATTACTCTAACTCCTCTATAATGTCTTATTTTAATTAAGAAAAATGTTATAATAGAAATAGGCATTAAACTTTAAAAAATGTATATATAAACGCACAAATGATTTTGCATACTTAGTTTTGGAAGAAACTTTATTGATGTTATCATGCTGAAATAGCCACCTGTGCGGAGCGTCATATTTATAAATGCGCATTTAGCTTTGCATTAAACAAGATTGTTCTTGTTTTATGCAAAGTTCTTTTATGTAATATGTTTACATTAATTAAATTATTTAGATGTTTTAAGATTAGGCATAGCAGAGTGTACATTGAAATAATTTCCTGAAGTTTTTAATATTATTTGAATCAAAGTTCCTGAAGTTTTTATTATTTGAATATCAATTCTATTTTTTCTAGACGCATTTCTACTTCAATTAAAATTTTGGGATTATTTATTTATATCACTTTTTATTTATAATACCTTGATTAAGTATTGTTTGAGCAAACATTTCTTTATAAAAGTAATATCACTATTATAGTGTTACTAGAAAGTCTAACCCGTAATTTGGGTCTGGTCTGGTGCACAACTACCACATCAGGCTTTCACAGGAAGGTGTGTGACTTCACATCTTTATATGACCAGGCAAATTATATTTTGCTATGACGATTTGACAGTGGCTAATTCAAAAAATATTTTAAAAACGCGCTAAATAAAAAATATTCTGAAAAAGTGAAATTATTTACATCAAAACTTCTTAAAAAATGTTTTTATATTAGCGAAACGCTTTTAAATAAAGTATCAATTTACTGATAATGTTTTTTTTTTTTTTTTTTTAAATATAATTGACAGTTGTATATATTTTTTTAATTTATAATATATAAATTGTTTAAGTGTGCATTTCTATAATAAACTTTATTAAAAATTAAAAAATTGTTTTGTTTTTATAAACGTTGACATTCTACGACTACAAAAGTCTCTTTAACGAATTTTAATAAAAGAATAATTAAAGTTAATACATTTAAAAAGATAAACAAAACTTAGTTGAAAAAAAAAGTTTTAGAAAGCTGTTACAATTAAATAAGTTTGATCTTTTATATTATCGAAGCTTTTAAATTATCGAAACGCTTTTCAATGAAGTAACAAAACACTTCTAATTAATTTTTCAAATAAGTATTAATAAAGTGTTGTTTTTTTTATTTATATAATTATGTATTTTTTATGAGAAATGTTTATCTTTTGAAACATATTTAAAAAAAAAGTACAAATGTTAAAACAAAGACTAAAATGGTTTTTTAATGCATAAATTAAATAGACTTTTTTTTTCAAACATTTTAGTTTAATGAGTTTTGTTTTAGTTGGGTTGTAATATATTTATTTTTTTGTGTTTTTGTTTTAACTAAGTATTTTTTTTTTATTTTCTCTTTCGTTAGGATTTTTTTTCTTTTTACAATTTTTTTTTTAAATAAGTTTAGCTAAATTTTTGTAGCGCATTTTTAAATTTTGAAAAGCCATGGTCAAATTGTTAAAACTTATTATTTTTTACGTGGTCATATAAAGACGCGAAATTACACGCCTTCCTGTGAAAGCCTGCACATGTCCTTTATTTACTTTTCAATAAAAATTGTAGAAAGTAATGATCTTAATCATAAAGTAAAATAATCATAAATCTTTATTTACCATTTTCTCGGATTGTGATAGATCTTGAGCGTTCTCAGTAAGCTTTAAGTTAGGGGTGGGGGTAGGGGGGTGGTGGGTGACGGCAAGTAAGATTCACATGTTAACGTTTTGTGCGATGTTTGAGTGGATGTACTGTTGAAACTACATAAGAAATCCAAATAATAATTGGATTTCTTATGTATTTTTTTAGTGTTATATGTGCAAATAGCATAACAAAGTGGATATATAAAAAGTTGGCTTTATTAAATATTTTGGCTCCTATAATATTGAAGCTTCAGTTTCATTGTCTATCTGCTTTTTTTTTAACTTTAGGCTTTGAAACTTTGTTCTGTTCTTTTACTGAAGCCATTGTTATTTTATTTAATATGGTGGCAAAATTTAATTACAAAAAGAAAAAAAAAATTAAATGTTTTGGATTTTAAGATTAAACACTCATACTGCTGGTTTCAGCTATCAAATAATTATAATTAAATTTTTTAAGGCTGATAAAAACCTGTCAGGAATGTTGATTACATAGTTACTACATAGCCCATGGACTACCCGTCCAATACATAGCTATTATACAGAATGCTATACATTACCTGCTACTACATTACCTGCTCTATAGGTAAATGCTACTACATTACCTGCTCAAATGCTACTACATTACCTGCTCTATAGGTACTACATATCTACCAAATAGCCTGTGGCCCGCAACATAGCTACTGCATAATCATGTAGCCTTTTATATAAGATATAACATTTAATATTTAAGATATATTTAATTAAAATATATCAAGCTTTAGTGATAAACTTTAGTGATATAAAATTTGAAAAAGAAAAAGGAACAATTTAAACAATTAAAATAATAAAAACAAATTAAATATATTACCTGATTTTTGTGATATTAAATCAAAAATTTAAAATAATTTAATTTGACATCAGTTAACTAATAATCGTCACTAAATGCATTAAATTAGAAAAATATAGCCAATTACACGTTAGCTGACTCTATTTTAGTCAAGTACATTCGTTATAACCATTGTAACTAATTACATTATACAGTATCTAAGCACATTAAACATTAAATTACAGTATTAATATTAGGATTACTTTTATAATGCAGTTAGTGACTAGAGTGTCATTACTTTTTTAGTCATTAGTTTGTTTATTGCTAACAATATTAATTCTCCCCATGAAAATAAGGTACACAGTTTTGAAAATGTTATGAAAATGTTAAAACAGTTATGAAAATGTTAAAATAAGGTACACAGTTTTGTATAAACTGAAATTTTGAAGTCCAGATATTTTTTCAGATATCGCGATTTGTGATTGCTTAATTCAACTCTTGAGATTTTTGTAGGTGCATTTTTGTGATATTTACAATACATTTGTACATTGGCTACAAGTTTTCATTAAATTAGGCAGTCTTGTAATAAAAATAAAACTCTTTTTTATGCGGTTTAGTCATTTTTTTTAACTTTTAGATTTTAAAAAAGTACCAGCTTATAAGATGTTTCATGTTTCATAGTTTTTCAGTTTTTTTTTAAGTTTATATTTCCGTTTAGGAGCTGCATCATGAAAATATTGTTAAATTACTGGATTGCATTGTGAGTATAATTATGTAATGTCAGTATTATTATTAATAATTATTACATTATTAATAGTATATATTATTGTAATGTCAATATTATTATTAATAAATACTTTATTAATAGTATGTATTATTGTAATGTTTGTATTATCATTATTAATAATTACATTACTACTAGTATATTTTATCAGGCAGAAAAACTTTTTAAATAAGAATCATCAAGCTTAATCAAACTTTTATATTAGTTTGATAACTAACCAAACTAAAATGAACATTTTAGTTTGATAAATAACCAAACTATTATGTTCATTTTATGTTAGTACATAAAATCAATCTAAAAGTATGTTGGGAGAATTTTTCAGTTAAAAAAATATGTGAACAATAAAGATTTAAAGCTAAGAAGCCATCTTTTTTTTTTTACCAAGTTTTTTTTTAGTTTTTTTTAAGATATGTTAAAAAAGATTAACTGAGGTCAGGGTTGGCATCAAATATGTATTTGTATCACTTATGGGCTAAATTGTCATATTTGCGTTCATATTGTATTTGATTAAAAAGTTTTTATTTATAATATTTATATTTGTATTTGATTGGAATGTATTTGTAATTCTGTAAAATAAGTTGATCGGTGATTTTTTTGGAAAAAAAATATTTGTTCATTAAACACTAATATAAGTTGAAAATTTGTTTTTAAGGAATATTTGTTAAAAAACTTGTTTTCATTCCTATATTTAGTATACCATTTTATCAATATTGCATTAAAAAAATCTTTATACTTTTCAGTAGCATTGGAACGGTGGGGCAGTGGGGATGGGTGCACCGAGTGGCACTATTTTATAGGTGGCCATTTTATTTTCACTTATCTGTTTGGCATGTCTGCCTGAATACCATAACACAGTACATGGCATTTGTTTTAAGCATCAAACTAGTTATTATAATTAAAAATAATATCTTCAATTTTTATAACAACTAAGTAGTTTTTTTATTTTCTCTTTTATTAGGATTTTTTTTCTTTTTCCATTTTTTTTTAGATAAGTTTAGTTAAGTTTTTGTAGCACATTTTTAAATTTTTAAATTTAAATTTTATATTAAAACAACAAATTTTGCATGTCTTTTGTCTCTAAAATTTAGTCTCTAAAATAAATTTGTCTCTAAGAGGTCACCAAGAAAAAAAGCTAGTCATATTCTGAAGAGGTCACCAAGAAAAAAAACAGGTGACATTCTGAAGAGGTCACCAAGAAGATTCTGAAGATCAAGACAAATGCTATCAAGCACTATTGCTGACAATTGATTTTTTTTTTGGCAACTTGACCATGACTGTTAAGACAATTTAGAATTGGTTTTATAAATGCACTGAAAAAAGAAACACAAAGCGAAACTTAAACCAAGAAAAGCATTAAAAAAAAACTAAAAAAAATAAAACAATTCCTTACAAAAAAAGAAATTATATAAGTACTAAATTAAAACTCAAACTCAAAGCAAAAATTACTTTTTATTATGTTTTTAAATGCATTTGAAATAAATTACTTTAAAACTTATCTTTTGAAACGTTATGCAAAACACTTTTACAAATTACTTCTAATGCTTAATGAATGATCAAATTTTATTAAAATTAATAAAAATTGTTATATATATTATTTTTAAATTATATAAACATTTATTTTTCCCAAAAAGTTGTAAAAAAAAAAAAAAAAGTAATTTTAAAATAGTAATTTTTAATCATTTCATGCTCTAATTAGTGAATCAAGTTTAAAAAATAAGGTTTTAAACAATTCTTTGTAAAAATAGAAAAGAAAAAATAAGCAATTAAATCATTCCATTGCAACAGCAAGATTTAATTTAACTTATTCATGATTGAAAGTAACTTAAAAGAAATAATTTTTAAAGTATTTTTAGAAAGACATGGAGAAATAGTTTCAACTGTTTGAGTTATCAAAAAAAATTGCACGCCATTCCTGTCCAAGCCAGGAATTACTTTTAGATGCGGAAGCCTGTTCAGTCATTAGGAAGCTGTTCAGGAATTACTTTTATATGAGAAAGCCTGTTTGAGAGTTACTTCTAGATAAGAAAGCTGTTCAGGAATAACTTTTATATGAGGAAGCCTGTTCAAGAATTACTTCTAGATAAGGAAGCTGTTCAGGAATTACTTTTAGATGAGGAAGCTGTTCAGGATTTATCTCTAGATAAGGAATCTTGTTCAGGAATTACTTTTAGATGATAAAAATGTTACGGAATTACTTTTAGATGAGTAGGTGTTCAGAACTTAATTGTAGATGAGGAGAGTGTTCAAGAATTACTTTGGTAGATGAAGGTCACCTATTATAAGAAAATGAGGAAAATAAGATAATTGACTTTAAAATTGTATTATAAAGAAAATTTTTTGTTAAAGTTTTTTGTTAAAGTACTTTCTTTTTTTTCAGGAGACACCTACAAGTGTTTATCTTATTATGGAGGTATTTATTTTGTATTTACTAGTTTAAAAAATCAGACTTTATTTTATCTTAAGTTATGCAACTTGAATAATAAAAAACTAATAATTTTATAGCTTTAAAAAAGTGTCAAAGCTTGACAGGTTATTGTTAAATTTATTATTAGTGAATTTAGTGCTTTGCTTTTAACTAACAAATATTTTTTTCTAATAGTATTGCAATGGTGGTGACTTAGCCGACTACTTACAGTGTAAGAAAATGTGTTTTGTCAAGAAATTAGGCAATTTTTTCATGTATATATATATATATATATATATATATATATATATATATATATATACATATATATATATATATATATATATATATATATATATATATATATATATATATATATATATATCGACTGACAAATAGCCTGACTCGCAGTGGAGTGCTGCTACATCGACTGAGGGTTTGGTATGGGTCAGCAACCTTTTCATTCATTATTATTTGTTTTCCCTCATGGTTTTCTAAAAAATCTCACTTAATTTAGGCTAGCAAAAAAAGTAAGTAAAAAGAGAATATAAATATATATATATATGCATATATATATATATATATATATATATATATATATATATATATATATATATATATACATATATATATATATATATATATATATATATATATATATATATATATATATATATATATATATATATATATATATATATATATATATATATATATATATATATATATATATATATATATATATATATATATATATATATATATATATATATATATATGTGTGAATAATTTTATTTGTATTCTACAAAATAGAGTACCCAATGTTCTTAAAAGAACAGTGCAATAATAAATTAGTAGAAAATCACTTATCAAGTTTATTTTCATTTTACACTATAAAGACGTGTTTCAACTATAAAGACTAATCAGAAATGCTCATCATTTCTGATTAAGATATATACACTTTGGTGCATTCCAGTCAAAGTTTTAATTTTGCACACACACAAGTTTATAAAATTCTGAATATATATATACATATATATATATATATATATATATATATATATATATATATATATATATATATATATATATATATATATATATATATATATATATATATATATCAGGCCTTGTGATGAATAAAAAATGCGCACCTCATAAGCACAACGTGATTTTTGACATCATTAAATTCTTTTTATTTGCTTTTCATATTTATCGACATTAACTGCACCAATTTACTTAATTACCGCAAAACTACTTTAAATCATTAATGTAGAAATGTTATTATTTAAAAATCTTTTGGAATGTTTTGTTTTTTAAAATGTAAAAACATTTGTTTATGTTCTCGACCACTGACACATTTTGTCTATACTAAACGAATAAAAAACATTATAACTAAACATTTAAAAAAGATTATAAAATATGCTAATATTTGATTTTTTTTCTCTCAAATATGTAATTTAAAGTTTTTCAAATATTTATTTTTTCTTTTTAAAAAGTCAGCGAGTAATAAACTGGAAATTTTAATTTTGTACGAGTAAAAACTGTGCAATGGCTAATATTTTTACTAGCGATTTTATACAATATTTTTTTATTTATTTATTTTTATTTATTTTCATAAAGCGGTTGATAAGCACAATCACTCGTATTACTAAAAAAATTTTAGTAATACG